GCAGCCCCAAGACATCCATCAAAGCAGTGCGGCCGGCCTCCATCTGCAGGGAATTCTGTGCTGCTCTCCCCTCCAGCCCTGTAGCACCACTTGTGGGCAGAGGAACAGCTGCTAGGCCGTGTCCAGGCTGGGAATATTAGATGAAAATCTAAACACGGGCCACAGATCTCACTTCAAATCAGTGGTCAAACCTAAAAGAGCTTCAGGGAGCAGCAGGGACCTCTCAGACAAGCTGGAGAGCCACAGAGAGTGTCTTAGAGGGTGCTCTCATCACAGGTGGGCTCCTTGCTGAACTGGGCACTGTAAGGACCATGGGTAGAAGAGGAGCAATTGTGACACAGGGATCAGGGATAAGCACATCTGAGGATTGAAGAAGACACGCATGATCCACTAAAAGCACAGCTCTGAAGAAATGTAAGTTCCTGTGCTAGCAGGACGTTAAGCCAATGCATCAAACCTCCATACAACTTTTTTCCTTCACATCAATGTGCAAGCTCTTCCCTTTCTTTTTTTTGGGGGGAGGGATTTTTGATTCCTCAACAGATATAATACCATTCCTGTTCTTTTCAGTCCATCTACAGGTTTGACAGAAGCTCAGGTCAGAAGAGGTTGGACTGAAGGCATGGATATGGTATGAGAAAAGTCAGAAAACTCTGTCCTTTGCTTTATCTGCCCCAGGCTCTGAAGGTATTTTGCACAGACACATAATGAGCCAAGGACAGAAGAAATTAACACCTGGACCAATCAACTAATTTCTTCTTGTTGTAGATAATTGCATCATATCATCATATCCACAATTTTTATAATGTCTCACTAAACTTAACAATGTCAGAAACAGCTTATTTAAAGGGCCAGATTTTGTTTCCCTTTTTTAGTGATGCGAATATTTGTAAGTTTTGGAGTTGTTGTTGGCTTTTTTGTTGGTGGTGGGTTTTTTTTCTTTCTTTTTTTCTTTTTATTCTTTTTTTTCTTTTACTGTGTACTTCAGTAGTATTACGATTTGTTACCTCTTGATTTTGGCAGTTTGGGCTAACTCACTATTGTAACTTCTGGGTTAAAGTAGGTGAGTCATTTTGTAAGACAAAAATTGGATTCCCAGGAAATGAATAGTTGAAAAATATCTGTTTCATTCTTCATAAGGGATCTTATTGCTACTCTCATAGATAAAATGAAAGGCTCTAACTCCATCTAATGTTCAAACTGCTGAGCACCCAGCGTATGCATAATCTGCTTGCAAAATATGACAGCTTTGCTATGGTACAAATATTATATTCTTACACTGTCATGGTTACACAACATAAAAACCATCTTAACACACACAATATGATGCATAATATAATACATCACACATCCTTAATTTGTCATTTAATTGTCTTTTAAAAAAATCTTAATATTGTTTTTATGTTTTAATGAATCAGCGCATTTCAGTAGGTATAAGGATAAAAGACAGAAGTTTTTGCAAGACCACAGTGAAATCAGAAGAGTTATGAAAAATGAGAATACTTTTGTCACAACTAGCACTTCCAGCTCATTCTTAACATTTCATCTGCTTTTCAAACAAATTGATACTCACCAGAAGCTTTGCCAACACTATATTTGTGACATACCATAATTTGAATGTTTATACTCTTTACAGCACAGCGTGTCTCAACTGAACACTGTAATAAGAGAAGCTGTACATGTGTTTATGGGGGAGAGCTCAGACCTGCGAGTGGACATGCATGGGTGCACACACACAGCCCTTTCCTTCAAAGCCTATCTTCTTGTATTCAAACACAAATTTGAAAATCTATGAGCCACAATAATATTAATTCCCAGTTTCTTTGACCCCTCATAAAACAAAAGAAGAATGAGTGTTTGGCTAAAAGGATTGTAATGATGCCTTTGGACTCTTATGTTCACGTAATGACTAGTAGAAAGATTTATATGCCCTGCATAGGTATAATTAGACACCCACAAACCCATTGACCCTGACGAGGTGAAGAGCTCTCCTGCTTTTTGTTTCAGCAGTTGAATCAATACTTGCACGTTTTACCACTGTGGAGTGAAATTGAGGAAATGAAAATCTGATAATTTTGCTCCTAGTGCAGTCTAGACAGAGGAGAGCAGTTTTAGTCTTTGACAGGAAGATCTATTTCCAGTTACTCAAAAGGCTAGTGTCAATTTTAAAACTTCTCTTATTATTGATTTTCAGTTTTGTTTAAAAGGATGTTTTATTAGAAATATTAGTCCCATTTACAATGTAAGCTTATGTCTGTTTCACAGGTTGATGAAATCATGGTTTAGTTTTGGTCTGAATCACAGGATACTTCTGCCTGGTGACTTTTGTAGCAAAATATGTAGTGTCTGAAGAAGTTAATTTCATTGTCTCTTCTAAATCTACATAAGTCAGAACAGAACTCTTTATGCAATGCTGAAGGTTCATCTAGGAAATGCCGTGTGTATGGAGAAACAATATAGGTAAAATATCTAGGATAAATGTAGTTTGGCAAAATATAAAGGAAGCATTATATTAATTTCAAATGTGGGGTTTTTTCTGTAGTTTTTTTTTTTTTTTTTTGTGTGTGTGTGTGTGTGTGTGTGTGTTTTGTTTCTAATAAAAGAAATTATTACTCACAAGTGAAAAAAAAATGCAAGAATGTTAAATGAAAACCCTTTAGTTTTGACCTGGAGGCATAAGGCAATGATAATAAACTACAAAGCAAAAAGATAATGCATTTCAAATTTTAGAAGAAGCATCAGAAAACTGATCTTAAATTTTGGTTTCTGTGGTAAACAGAAACAATTCAGTATAGTGCATGATATATGACTATTGCCATTGATTTTGTTTTGTTGTATAAATAGACTCCACTGATTTTAACATTATGTCACCTGGCTTTTACCTGTAGTGTCACATTGTCTTATGTACTGGTTTTTTGTTAGAAGTTCATGTGTTGAAAACACACATAATAATAAGAGAGCTGGAAAAAATTTTAGCAGAGTGAAAAATCCTCAAGACCCCTTAAAGAAAAAATAGGAGTAATTTTATATGTACAGACTAAGAAGCTTAGGATTAGAATAGCACAGATGTTTCAAGTATTAACCAGAAATTACTTTTTGCACACACACAAAAATGTGTCAATAAGTAAGCTACTATAGAAATAAATAAACCACTTTTCTAATTCATTAAGAGAATAGGAGTCTGTTCTAGGGGTGCATTACATGCCTTATTTTAATGCTCTGCCTTGTGCAAGAAGAAATCAAGGTATAATACTTTGATATATAATCAGATCTGAAGGCTTTGAATTACATTGGTATCTCTTTCAGCTCGTTGTTTGGTAATGCTTATTGCCTTCCCCAAAACAGTTCACACTGGAAGTAATTTCCCATGTTTGGGGCTTTTTTTGTCTGCGTCTATAATGTGCTCCTAAGAGACACAGCTTTTGGGGATGAAGAAATTGATATTAAATATGCATATTAGGATATGCGGGGGTTTTTTACAGCTGTAGCTCCTGCCAATGGAATTTTATTGAGCACAAATTAATGAAGCTTTGGGACTCTTAGTCCTTACTCCCACCGGGCCAGTAAAAGTAAAATTCTGATTTAATAAATCCTTCAAATAAGGAAGTAACCACCCCCCACCCTCAACCCTGCAGCTTGTTACTTATGCAATCAAAGCTGAGCTTCCTGCCTGGATTGCACACTTCTTTATTTGGTTGTACTTGAAATCATAAGTACTAGTATGACATTTTTTTGAAGCATGTATTGTGAATTTTGTTAATTGAAAAGTCTGAATTCATCTCCTTCAATCACAAATAATTATTTACCTGATATGGAATATTGTCTCACAGAAACCCAAGGTCACACAATATCTAAGATAGTTATTATTCAGGCACTCATGGGGGCTGCCTTAGGTTATCTAAATTTTTGCCTTTACAATACAGTATGTGATTATTTGAAAGGATTTGCAAATCGTGATAAAATTATGTTAAGCACTGTAGTACTTAACCTTTTAAGAATGTCTATGAGATACATCTTTAAAAGGGATAGTTTACACCAGATAAGGAATTATTACTTCACTTAGACACTATGTATGCAGGGTAATTGCAAATTACTCATCAGTTGTTTTTTATGTTTTTTTTTTCTCCTTCTTTGAAGTAACTTGATAAAACTAATGTGGGGGGGTTTGGTTTGGTTTGGTTTTGGTTTGTTTTTCAAGGTGGTTGTTTGTTTAGGTTTGATTTTTGGTTTTTTGGTTTGTGATTTTCTATTGGATTTTTTGGAGGGGTTTGGAGGAGGGGTTTGTTTGGTTGGTTTTGAGTTTTTTCGTTGGTTTTTTGTTGTTGGTTGGGTTTTGTTGGGGATTCAGGGTTTTGGTATTTTTAATTAAAAAAACTAAAAACACTGTAGATTGTCTCTAGCAAAAAGGAAATTTACTTTTCTCCTCTCTGCTTGCAGTCACTCAAGATACAAGCTCTTCAGTAGGTAAATTATAACCCAAAAATCCCTCGTTTTCTTTGTAAATTTCCAAAATATTATTTTCAAAAAAAAAAAAAAGAAAAAACCTACTTATAAACAGCAAGCAAACACCAAAAAGTGATTTTATATTTTGCAAAAGTAAGCACAGCATTTGCTCAATATTTAGAGCTCAAGGCAGGTGGCTTTTTTTTTTCCTTCTGTAAGTATTATTAGATGTAGTTTTATCTTAGAATATAATTAAAATTATATTATTTATCTTATAATATAATTACAATTCATAAAATCATATGTGCGCTAATAATGAGGGAAAAAGTCTAGAAATATGAAGGGAAAGTTGCATGCAGCTTAAAGAAATAGTTGAAAGTCTATTTCTAAATAGCTTATTTGCTAAGGAAAAATTAGTTCTTTGAGTCACCTCTTATTTTTCTGTGTTTAAGAAACAAAAGGTAATGCTGTGTAGATTGAGAGTTTTAGATCAAGTTTAAGGAAAACAAGAAAAAAAAAAACAAAACAAAACAAAAAAAAAAACAGGAGCAAAATACCTGTGAGGTGAAACAGCACAGTGTGATGTGAACACCTGCCCGTTCGCCTGCTGGTGGGGCTCTGGCAGTGCCAGGGTTCTTCTGCCTTGCATATGAGCTCCTCAAATTAAACCAGGAGTTGCAAAGAGCAAGCAGCATCTCTTCTGCATCGCTCATCCTGCAAACTAGCTTAAGAACTACATGTTACTCGACTGTGCAGTTTGAGGAAAAGCAATGCAGCATAATGCATGATGTAAAAGGAACAAGACCTGAAGTTCTCCTGGCTGTTGCTACTGTCCCCTACTGAGACCAATTAGCTAATACAAATTTCTGTGCTTCGACTACAAAACTTATTTATTCCAAACCCTTGGCCATGAAGGATGGCTTTAGGCACTGTCAGTGTCTTTAGAATTACTGAATTCTTCACCACCACTACCCCTTTTTGTTAAGTACAGGAGTAGGAAAAAAAAATATCAGATTTTACTGATTACACCCTCTCTAATAATTCATCTGAAAGAGTAAGTGAAATTTTTGTGTTTTCAGAACCACAATTCACCTGATTTTTTTAGAATTCTGTTCTTTGAAATCAAATTCATGTTCAGATAAGCTGTCCCTCCTTCTGCTTCTCATTCTTGAACAAAAGAGATTGCATAATCTTGGCAGAATTTTCTTTGAATAAAGTGAGATAATGTGGACACTGAATTAGAGGTAGGTAAAAAAAAAATGTACAGAGAATATAAGGAACAGGAGAATCTAGCCTAAACTTTACCTTGTGCATTACACAAACACATGGACACACAAGTTTAGAGAACAATTCCTATTTCTCAGTTAATTCTTAAATGTAGTCCCTATGCAGCAACCTATGAGAGTCTAAATGCCATGAGTATGTGTCCTCAGCAATCTTGCTCTCAGACAGCTCATGAGTTTCTGTATAGAGTGGATATCATTTAGTGGGTTAAATTCACTATTTGACCAAAACTATTCAAAGCATGACAAAGTGCAAAGGCTCAACTGTTTTGTAAATAACATGTTACAAACAAATGTTAATTATGCAATTGAACATCATTTGTTACAGCTCTTGATGGACGATGGAAGGAGCAATCTTTAAAAGTCCATAATTACATAATTATACAATAGTCTGTAATTGCAAATAATCATGTAAATATCTAATTGAATTTTTTAAAAAATCTGTGTTGCATCAGAAATGGGATAATAGGGACTTTACTGTTGAAGTGAACTAACCATCTCAGATGAAACATTATTCATTAATGTACAGTCTCAGTTCTCCATTAGAAAAAATATTTGATGTTTGTAGTCCTTGAAAATCATAAAGCAAAAAGATAACTTTGGAGTTAAACAAGTAAATTGCATTTTTGTTTAGTTTTTCAGTAGAAGCAAAACTTAGTTTCTTGGAAGAATGGCTTTCAAATGGACAAAAAGGTCATGTTGAAAACAAGCTTTATGCTCTGTAACTGATTTAGAAATTAGTGAATATTTTTTATTTGAAATGCACTTTTTTTTCTACAGTAAATTGCATAAACATTACAAGTAAATAAGTAGGTTTTTTTCTGTAATAGTAAAATAAGTATAAATTTTTTCCTTAAAGCTAGGGGAAAGGCAGAGTTAATAAACCATTCCATCATATCCAGTTAATAAGCATGGTGGACTGAAGTCTAAATATGTGATATAATACTGATTTAAGCTGAGTTTGTCTCCCACTGAGAATTCTCAATGAAAGTTGGGGTTTAAGACTGCAATTTTCATCACCACAAGATTTGGGATACATTTTGGTGGTGCATCATGCATGTAAATTTCCTTATGAGGAAATATCTTTATACCTACAATCAGTGCTTGTATTGACAGACAAATATTAATCCAGCAGACTTTTAAAAAATAACACCAGGTTGAAATTAACACATGATGATGAAAGTATTTTTTACTCTTTATATGAAATTAAGTAGTAATTTCTATGGCATGGAGGACTCTTAACATGTTGGTGTCTACCTACCTCTTGCAGGATAAACATAGACATGTGTTTTTCCAAGAAGTTACTGGAGAGAATTCATTTATTCTTTCAGTCAGGAACAAGCACTCACACATACACACACACACACACACACACACACACACACACACACACACACTGACTCTTTTTTGGGGCAAACATTTAGGAAGTTGTCTTGAGCTCTTCCAAACCATTTTTTTTTTGTATTGTTCTTGTTGAGTGATACAGTCATGGCACAACTACATTTTCTGTCACCTTTGCAGCCAAATGCTGTAATGGTATTGCTCATTTTTAAAATACAAGAGACAATCCCAACTTTGAGATCTACAGCCCTTTCCAGAATTTGTAATGAATTAGTAGCACTGGTCCAAATGTGAAGAAAGGAAAGAGGAGTTCTTTAGCAGCAAGCTTTATCCAATGATTTTGTTAACTACTCTATTAAAAATGTTGTTGCTTTGCTTAAGACAGAAATCTTAAAAAAAGTGTTTTCAACAAGATTTATCATATTAAAACACAAAGAATACAACTTGTTAGTTCAGTCTGGACAAACAATAAACAAACTGCAGTCCCTGCCACCTTTTTAATTATGAAAACGGCTCAGCTATGTTATCAATCCATCTTCCTGTCCTATTTCCTGCTTACATTTCTATCTTTGCACTTTTTTCCCTCCTAACACAGTGGTACTCTTAAAGGTTAAGAAGAAATACCTGTCACTTCTTCTTCTATGGCATATATACATGGGATAAAATTTTAATTAGAGAATGCTGAGTCCAACAGATTAATTCTGCTCTAAGTACTGAAAGTCACAGAATGCTTATTTTTTACAGTTGGAAATGTGAAGTCTATTCCACAGAAATACAATGTTGGAGTTTTTTCTTCAAAATTTTGCCTTCTAGTGTGATCTTTTTTCATTGTTCAACCAAATGTTTACACTGTCAAAGGGACTGGCCAAAAGCAGGAATGTGATTGCTCATGTCAATTTGTCAATTTAATGTAGAACACAGAACACAAAGAGCTATAGAGGTCTTGAAATGTTTTATATTGTCCTATGTAAAACTGAAGTGCAGCAGATGATGTTCATAACTATGCCTTAAATGGTAGGTCATAAAAATTTGTGCATAGCACCAGCTAAAGGCTTTTCAGGACATGAGGTTTAATTTCCAGATATAAAGAGTTGCAACAAAGATTTCTGATTGAATAATAGGTGTTTTTATTAAATCTTTTGAATGAGGAGTTTCATTCTCAGAGCTTGCTTATTCTTACTTTCACAACCTGGAGAGTTGTTCATCCTCCAGTTCCCTTTTGGTTAAATAGCAGGATTAATGGCATGTCAGTACCATGTGACCTGGAAGACATGTCTAGATTTGACTCTGGACTACCTTTTACTACTACTTATTGCCTTCACTGCTTCCCTGTAGGGAATGCAGACATTAGACAAACAGAGCTAAGTATAGAGGTGCCCCTACCACAACAATTTTAATATAGTAGTTTTGGATTTATTTCCAGCAAGTGGCTCTTGTGGAAGGGAAAAAATTTTCTTTGAAGCTAAAATTAGCATGAAAATATGGTCCAATGAAATTTGAAAAAACATGCCTCTGATGGTCATTTATGTGCAGGAAGCAGGTGTCATCTTTATGCCTAGCCTAATAAAGACTCAACAGTGACAAGCACTAATTTACACCATGATCAGTGATGGATAATTCCTTTAGAACAATACAAACTGGGTCCATTCCAGGTTCTGGATTTTTTTTTTTTTTTATAAAATAGGATACTTTTAATATTATCTTACAAAAGTACATAAAATAGGAATTAATTATGAATGGATAGAAGGCAAAATATTCTTAATATTAGTCATCAATAAAGTATTCACATAAATACCTAGGGAAGTCTTCAGGTTTGTGAAGGATAATATCAGTGGTGAAAGATAATATCAGTACCATTGAAATTAGCTCAGCTGGTTAGAGCATGGTGCTAATAACACCAAGGTTCTGATTTTGATCCCCATATGGGCAATTTACTTAAGAGTTGAACGTGATGATCCCTGTGGGTCTCTTGCAATGCAGAATATTCTGTATTTATATCCTGTGAACTCTCCACTGTCTTTAATATTACTGAAACACAGTGGCTGCTGATAACAAATCAAGATACAGTCAATACATCAGTTTTATGGCTGAATTGTGGATTTGAGTCAAACAGCAGTGGTTTTAGCACCATAATAAAATAACTACTGCTAGTCATTGACAAATGCTGGTTTTGAGTATTTCCTGCTATTTGTTACTCAAAACAAATGTTACATATTTTGATCAACTGGCTATAAAGTAATATATCAATAAAAGCTAAATCTGAATCAAAACAAAGATTTACTAATTGAAACCAGATTTTTAAAATTGAATCCATTACTGTGGACTACTGTGTGTTCTATCCTTTTAAACTCCACTGCCTTCAAAGAAGAGATATATGACATCAGCACACAGGTCTGAAGTTAGCATAACCAAGTGGAAGACAACAGGAATTGCCCTATTTCATAGTCCTTATTTAGCAGGGGTTGATATATTAATTATGAGAGAGCATAAGAAATACCAGGGGACTACTCTATTGGCTCATACTGCCTGTCAACAGGTAACTGCCTCCTTCTCCACACCTCTGTTGAGGAATCACCTGCAATTCTCTCCCTTTCTTAGTTTTGTTAGGTTTATAGAGAATTAGGACAAAAGGAATAATATTAAATAGATGTTTTCCATAGATAAGTGCATGTGTGTGTTCATGCCTATGTATCTATAAAATCCTTCACTACATTTACATTGGCTGAAACACTAGGTCAGGCACATGGGAATTACAGTCCATATGCGATTGAATGGCAATGCCAAAGATATCCTACACAAACACATAGGTTCTCACAGAAGAAATGAGATAGAATTAAGACAAAGGGACATTTGAGTTTCAGGAGGGAAAACCAATTCTTGTTATACTTAAGTTTTAAAAATTATACTCCAGAGTGTCGTATTTTTTTCAGGGAAGTGAGGGGAGTCTTTTATATTGGAACACTTTTAAGTCAGATAGATAGAACCTGCTGGTTATATACTTGGAGTAAGGACTTG